TGTCTGCATCTCCCAGGCAGCCTTGTCTAGCTGTGCCCCAGCCGCCATGGGTCTGTGTTCTTCCTCAGTGCGGCCAGTGTAGTTGAATTTTACAAATATTATCATTGATAGGACACATCTGTTATGCCAACAGGACTGAGCACTCACAGCAGCCACATTAGTGGGATGATAGGAGATGTGCCCCACTTGTAGAAAACCTGACCATATAAGGAGGAGCATCTCAATTACAGAATAATGTGTCACTTAGCCAGAAATTCATGGCAGGTTTCCTAGTGCATTTAAAATAGGATTTTTGTATAAAAATACCATTTGCACACAGGAGCCCATGTATTCTGAAAAGGGAAATATACTTGTATTGGGCATTTGGGATAAGTAGAATAAAAATAAAATCTTACCAAATATAAGAACTAGAAACCAGATTCCACTCTTAATTCCAAAAGGTTTATATATAACTCTACTATCTTACCCTCTCCTCCTACCCCAGACTTTCACAGCAGAAGCAAACAGGCAAGATCTGTAGGCAGTTCAAGACAGCAGTGAGAATGAGGAAAGGACCGGCAAGCATGAGGGTGGGCGGCAGGGGGAGCCCCAGGGGCAGGACTGGGTGCCCCACCCTCACCCCTGTGTTGTTCTGCTTGATTGATTTGTGAACATTTGTGAGGCCTGGACTGAAACATTACTGTTAAATCCCTTCCGGGGTGTGGGCAGTGAATGGCTAGCGGTTAGAAGTTTACCAGCCCATCCAGCTGCTGCAGACCCCTGCAACTACAGAGACGGCCTGGGGTCTGACCGACAGGGTCTAGGGAAGGCCTGGAGGAGAAAGGCGACCTGGGATGCTGACCTGTCTGAATTCTTCCCTTTCAGAAATGTTCCCATCCTCCTGGCTGCTGTGCCTGTTGTTATAATACTTGCTTGCCTGCGTTTCTTGCTGGGCGGGTCTAGTGGTAACAAACTTACTCAGCTTTTATTTATCTAGGAATTTCTTAATTTCTCCCTCAGTTTCAAAGGACAAATTTGCTGGATATAGGATTCTTGGTTAATAGTGTTTTCTCCTAGCACTCCAAATATATCATCTTAAATCTTCTATCTTCTGACCTCCAAAGTTTCTAATGAGAAATCTGTAGATAATCTTATATAATCATCACTTGTGAGGATTCATTTCTCTAAAGATTTTCTTTAGCTTTTGAAGGTTTGATTTATGTGCCTTGGTGTGGATCTCTTGGGGTTTGTTGAACCTCTTGGATGGATGTTTATATCCAAATGTTTCATCAAATTTGGGAAATTTTCAGCCATTACTTCTTCCAAAATTGCCTCTGTCCCCCTCTCTCTCTCCTCTTTCTGGGACTCCTGTAAAGCCTGCGTGCTTAGTGGTTTCCCACAGCTCATCCCTCTGCTTACTTTTCTTTGACCTTTCTTTTTTTTTTTCTGTTTCTCAGATACAGCAGTTTCCATTGCCCTGTGTCTTCATGTTCACTGATTTCTTTCTCCTGCTGCTCCAATCCACTGCCTTTGAATCCCTCTAGTGAATTTTTTATTTCAGTTATTGTATGTTTCAGCTTCAGAAGTTCTTTTAGTTTCTTTTAGGTTTTCTGAACCTTGGTTGTTATTTTCACTTGCCCACCTGTTGTTTTTTGGCTTTCTCCACATCTCCCTTTAGTTTTTGAGCATCTTTACGACAGTGCTCTTAAAGTCTTTGTCTAGTCTTTCTAGCATTAGGTCTTTTTCAGGGACAGTTTCTGTGAATTAATTTTTTTCCTTTGAGGCCATATTTCCTGCTTCTTTGAATACATTGTGTGTGTTTCATTAAACATGGGATATTTCAATCTTATAATGTGATAACTCTGGAAATCGAATTCTCCCCCTTCCCCAGGATTGTTATTTTGATTGTTGCAGGCCATCTCTGTGCCTAGGACCAGCCTGAGGTGTAAATGTAAGGTCTTAGGTCTTTTCTGAGCCTTTCCTTTGGAATGCATGGCCACTTGCTGAATTTCCCCATATATGTAGTAGTTTTGAATGTTCTAGTCTCTAGTGTCTGGCTCCCAAAAGAGGAAAGAGCAAAATATGAAGGGGATAGGAAAGGTGCCAGCCATTTAAATCCCCTGGAAATAACTTCAGCCTGAGGGGAGAGGCTTGTACCAACAGCTCCCTGCCTCTTCTCTTTCTCTCCATCTCCATGATCAGAAACAGCAACCAGCAATTAGAGCAGAGGTTCCCAACACTTGGAGGACAGGGTACCTTTTGCCCGTGCAGGCTGCTGCATGAGCACATGCACAGCTGTGTGCTGTGTGCCATGTAGCTGAGGTGGGAGATGGGCAGCTGCTGCTGTGCTGAAAGCTGAAATTGACCAAAATGACTGCAGTTTACCATCCAGCTCTCCCCTAAAGTTGCAAGTCTTCAGTGGACTTCAGAGTTTCAGAATTGTTACATCTGACAGATTTTGCTGTTGCAGTTGTCCAGCAGCTGAGGAGACACATTCCTGGTGCAAGAGATGAGTTTGCTTTCATTAAGAAAAAGATGGCACCTGTAGTCTGTGTCCTGGCTCAGGGCAGAGAGCCTTAAGAAGCCCTGCAGGGGACAGAGGGACATGTGTTGAGGTGGGAAGGAAAGGGACATTGTTCAAATCCAAGCCTGATTACTTCTCTTTCCTGTCTGTAAATTGGGGTGCTGACAAGGCCTGCTCTGCTGGTTGTTTTCACAGGTAGTCTCTGTAGAACATCTACCATGTGTTTGGCACATGGTCATCTTGGGTCACATTGACCGAGCACCTTTGAGCCAGCCACAGTTCCAAGCCTGGATTAACGCATTTAAGCCCACAACATCTCTGTGAGGTAGATAGCATTATTAGGTCCGTGTTTACAGGTTGAGGAAACAAAGGTTAGGGATTTGGCCAAGAACACACAGAGATTGACTCACTTACCAGGGAGTTAATTAGGTTCCAGAGCCCACACACTTGATACCTCACACAGCAGTGCCTGAAATACTAGGTCCCTTCCTTTATTAGGATATTTTGACTGCAAGTTACAAAATAAAAAGTGATTTTTTTAAAAACGTGTCCATCCCCCTTAAGTCTGGAGATGGGGTGGTCCTGGGGCTGGTTAATTTAGTGCTCAGAGTGTTACAGAGGATCTCTCCATTCTGTCACTCTGCTGTCCATAATGGGCTGGGTTTTGTCTTTAGAGCTGTCCGCTTGTGGTAAGGTGGTTGTGACAGATCTCATCATCCCATCCTCACAGAGACCAAAGAGATGACACTCCCATTCCTGAATGAGGTCAAACTAATTGAAATGTACTCCTGCACCCTCCCGTCCCTGCCAAACACACAGGGTGGGGAGGGCCTGGAGCACAAGCCCTCAGAATAGCTGGCTATTCAGAGCTCCTCCTCTTTTTTATTAAGAAGGGGTATAGCAGGAGTAGGTGTGGGCAGGCCATTGACAAATCAGCCACAGTCATCCCCTCCGGTTAATGCTGAGACCTTTGTTCGGAAGGTGCTCTGTGGCACTGACAAAAGTAGACAAAGTCTAGGGCTACACAAAAGGCTGCCAATCGTCCTTGGTTTACTCTAGGCCAAGTAATCTTTTTCTTCTTGGCAAGGGTATGAGAGCACATGGTAAATGTTGACTGATCATCAGGGCCCAGCAGGACATAGGTCTTCTGAGAGGAAGGCAGAGCTCCTAGAGACTCGATGTAACAGCTCTGCTGCTGCCCCATTTGTCTCTGGAGGATGTCAGGGGTGGGCAGCCTGGGTCAGCTCTGACTGGAGCAGGTTACTTCCCGCTCCAGGCTTCAGGCACCCTGTCTGTAGAGTGAGATGCTGCAGGGTAGCCCCAAGAACGGACCCCGCTGGACCACGTCGGTTACAGACAACAATGCCTGACATGTGGAGAGCACCTGGGCTGTGCCGTTGCTGGAGCCAGTGTGGTCTCACCACCAGTGTCCGCCATGGCGTGACTGTCTCAGTGCCCTGTCACCCTGCTCTTGCTCCTTCCACCTTGGGTTGGAGGTGTTTGCTCTGTGGTGCTGTCCTGGTGGCTGCAGGCCTGCAAGCCACACTGACTCTGATGGGCTGCCCTCCAGGGAAACGAGGGAGAAGGGTGCCCATCACACTTGGTACCAGGAAAGGGGGGAGCCAGGAGGAAGTGTCTGCATCTCCCAGGCAGCCTTGTCTAGCTGTGCCCCAGCCGCCATGGGTCTGTGTTCTTCCTCAGTGCGGCCAGTGTAGTTGAATTTTACAAATATTATCATTGATAGGACACATCTGTTATGCCAACAGGACTGAGCACTCACAGCAGCCACATTAGTGGGATGATAGGAGATGTGCCCCACTTGTAGAAAACCTGACCATATAAGGAGGAGCATCTCAATTACAGAATAATGTGTCACTTAGCCAGAAATTCATGGCAGGTTTCCTAGTGCATTTAAAATAGGATTTTTGTATAAAAATACCATTTGCACACAGGAGCCCATGTATTCTGAAAAGGGAAATATACTTGTATTGGGCATTTGGGATAAGTAGAATAAAAATAAAATCTTACCAAATATAAGAACTAGAAACCAGATTCCACTCTTAATTCCAAAAGGTTTATATATAACTCTACTATCTTACCCTCTCCTCCTACCCCAGACTTTCACAGCAGAAGCAAACAGGCAAGATCTGTAGGCAGTTCAAGACAGCAGTGAGAATGAGGAAAGGACCGGCAAGCATGAGGGTGGGCGGCAGGGGGAGCCCCAGGGGCAGGACTGGGTGCCCCACCCTCACCCCTGTGTTGTTCTGCTTGATTGATTTGTGAACATTTGTGAGGCCTGGACTGAAACATTACTGTTAAATCCCTTCCGGGGTGTGGGCAGTGAATGGCTAGCGGTTAGAAGTTTACCAGCCCATCCAGCTGCTGCAGACCCCTGCAACTACAGAGACGGCCTGGGGTCTGACCGACAGGGTCTAGGGAAGGCCTGGAGGAGAAAGGCGACCTGGGATGCTGACCTGTCTGAATTCTTCCCTTTCAGAAATGTTCCCACTGCCAGGAGGCAGGCGCCACCTTGGGCTGCTACAACAAAGGCTGCTCCTTCCGCTACCATTACCCATGTGCCACCGACGCAGGTAAGACGGGGCTGCACACCTTGTCCAGAGCATCCAAAGCATAGGATATGTGCTTTGATTCTCTGCCTTCTTTCCCTTCCTTATAGTTCATTTTGTCTCTTCTGAGCCCTTTCTGTTTGTAAATGCTAAAGGAATGCAGAGAGGATAATTAGGAGTGAAATAGGGTAATATTTTTTAAAAATAGTTTTATTCATATAATTCATACACAATTCACTAAGTGTACAGTTCAGTGGGTTTTAGTATATTCACGAGTTGTGCGACCATCATCATCATAACTTTTAGGACATTTCGTCACCTCATAAACTCCTACGCATTAGCGATGACTCTCCCCACCCTCCACCCCCACCCCCACCCCCAATCCTTGCCAGCCCCTGGCAACCACTAATCTACTTTTCTGTTGCTATGGGTTTGCCTATTCTGGACATTTCATATAAGTGGTAGAATCATACAATATGTTCTCTTTGTGTCTGGCTTCTTTCAGTTAGCATGTTTTTCAGGTTCATCCAAGTAGTGTTTATCAGTACTTCATTCTTACTGCTAAGCAATGTTTTATTGTAAGGCTATACCATAATTTATTATTACCATTAATTTATTTATTATTCAGTTAATGCACGTTTAGGTTGTTTTCCACTTTTGTATTATTACAAATAATCTTGCTATGAACATTCACATGTAAGTCTTTGTGTAGACTTTTTCTTCTTTTCAGTTCTTTTGGGAATAAACCTTGGAGTGGAATTACTGGGTCATAGAGTAACTCTATGTTTAATCTTCTGAGGAACTGCTAGCGTATTTTCCAAAGAGGCTAAACCATCTTATATCCCTCCAGCAGTATATGAGGGTTCTGGTTTTTCCGTATCGTCTCTGACATTTGTTATCTGCTATTATCTGTCTTTTTTACTGTAACCATCCCAGTGGGTATGAAGCATTATCTCATTGTGACTTGGATTTCCATTTCCCTGATGGATAATGATGTTTAGCATATTTGATGAAGTCCAGTTCAGCTATTTTTTTCTTTCATTGCTTGTGCTTTTTATGGCTTGTTGTGTTTTCTTTTATCTAAGAAACTGTCACCTAATCCAGAATCACAAAGATACATGCCCATGTTTTCTCTTGAGTTTTACAGTTTAGTCCTTACATCTTACACAGGTCTTTGATCCATTTTGAGTTAACTTTTATGGTGAAGTAGAAATTCATTTCTTTCCTTTGCATATGGATTCCAGTTGTCCCAGCACCGTTTATATAAAAGACTTTTTTATGTAAAAGACATTGAGTGATCTTGGCACCTTTGTTAAAAACCTGTTGATCATACATGTATGGGCTTATTTCTGGACTCCATCTAGTACCATACTTTTCTGATTACTGTAGCTTTGTAGTAGATCTTGAAATTGGGAAATGTGAGTCCTCTGATTTTGTTCCCTTTTTTTATAAGATTGTTTTTGACTATTCTGGGTCCTTTGCTGTTACATATGAATTTTAGGAGCACCTTGTCCATATTTGTAAAAAAAAAAAAAATAGCCATTGAAATTCTGATAGGGAATTCATTGAATCTGTAGATCAAATTGGGGAGTTTTGTCATCTTAACAAGAGTATGTCTTCTAATCCATGATCAAGGGATATCTTTCCATTTATTTCAGTCTTTAATTTCTTTTACCAGTCATCTGTAGTTTCCAGAATGTAAGTTTTGCACTTACTTAAATTTACTCTTAAGTATTTTATTATGTTTGGTGTGAAAAATAATTAAAACTAATCAATAAGCTGAGCCAAGTTTTAGGATGTAAGGTCAATATACAAAATGAATCATGTTTCTGTATACTTACAAGGAAAATTAAATCAGGCAAATAATTCCATTTATAGTCACACTGAACATAAAATACTTAGGAATAAATTTAATTAAGTAAGTGAAAAACTTACATTCTGAATACTATAAAACACTGTTGAAAGAAATTAAAGACTGAAATAAATGGAAAGATATCCCTTGATCATGGATTAGAAAACATATTCTTGTTAAGATGGCAAAGCTCCCTAATTTGATCTGCAGATTCAATGAATTCCCTATCAGAATTTCAATGGCTATTTTTTTTTTTTACAAATATGGACAAGGTGCTCCTAAAATTCATATGTAACAGCAAAGGACCCGGAACAGCAAAAATCATTTCTGTATATAAGGTCTGTCATCTGCAAGTAGTTTTACTTCTTCCTTTCCAGTTATATGCCTTTTTTCTTTTTCTTGCCTAATTGCTCTAGCTGGAACTTCTAGTATAATGTTGGATAGCAGTGGCAAGAGCTGACATCCTTGTCTTGTTTCTGGCCTACTAAATATGATGGTAACTATAGGTTCTTCATAGATGTTCTTAATGTAGCTGAGGAGGTTCCCTTCTGTTCCTAGTTGAGTGTTTTTATCATGAAGGGGTGTTGCATTTTGTCAGACATCTTTTCCACATCTGTTGATGATCAAGAACAGTGTTGCACAGCGCGTGATAACTGTTGAAAGAAAGAAAACCTTTTGTTAGAGAAGTGCCATCCAATGAGTGATGCAAAGATGAGTTTTGACTCAACTTCACCAGCTGGGAAAATCCTCTTTCTCCCTGTAGACTATTGTCTCTTCAAGTGAATGTTTTCACCAGTTATTTTTGAGCACTAGATGTGTCTAAGACCATTACCTAGCCAGCCCCCATACTGCTTGTGGTCAGGATGGAGGGAGAAGAAAATGGAAAGATAAATAGGAGTGCAGGTGGCATGGTGCTTGTCGTCTCTCAGTGCTTCCTAAGTTCTGAGCAGGAGGCATAACTTTCCGTGGAGGCAGCTGCCATTCCTGGGAGACTGGGTGTGATCTGGTGTTGGGAGAGAAGGGGAAGGGTGAGGCTGACCTGACAGGGAAGCCGGTACAAAGGCATAAAGCACGTGGGGTCGGATAGCACAGGCTGCTGTGTGAGCACTTGTAAGGGCCACTTCAGCACGCCCCTGCCTTGCACACCTTCCCATTGTTCTTTCTGCCCCTTCCCTCTTCTTTTCTTTCCAAGTCCCCATAGGAGGAGCAGCTAAAAAGAACAAGAAAAGGACAGAAAAATAATGTTTCTGCCAAAGTTAAGAGTCTCATAACAGTGCGTGTTTGCCCACACAGAGGGGCAGCTGGTGGCCAGAGGGATGTGTGTGGAGTAAGAAGGGCCTTTGAAGAGTCAGTTCAGGGAGTCTGGGTTTTAGTCTGTCTCTTCCGTTCTTTCTTCCCCTCAGTGTTTCGGTATTGAGTCTAAGCTGTATTGCACCCTGCGTCATGCTGTGGCGTATTCCATAGATAGTACAGCCATTAAATCCTCTCAAGAGCCAACGGGTGCCTCTTTTCATTTTCATGATGTTGCCTCTAGTTACATCAGAATGTTTTATTTTCTCTCTTCAGTTTAAGCTTCATGGTTTTTAAATGAAGATTTTCAGTATTAAGTTTTTAGCAGTTGTTTAAGTTCCACATGGAGAATGGAACTCCCGATAGGGAGCTGGGTGAGAAGTGGTCTGCATTGAGGCTCTCTGTTGAAGAAATTCTGAGCGGCAGGCAGGTAGCCTCAATGCCCCATGGGTGCACTGCTTGTCTGCACGCTGCGGCACCAGCCGAGTCAGGGACCAGGCCCTCAGCCGGCCTCCTGGTACGGTTTCTCGAGGACTTAAGCAGTGCTGCTCAATACAACTTTCTACAACGATGGACATGTTCTAGATCTGCATTGGCCAGCATGGCAGCTGCAAGCCATGCAGGACTATTCAGCACTTGAAGTGTGGCTAGTGGGAATGCGAGACTGGATATATTCTATTTTAACTTAAATTTGCTTGGCCACATGTGGCTAGCGGCTGGACAGTACAGGCCGAGTACCACCTAGATGGAGCTCAGGCAGTATTGTTGGGGGCCTTCAGGCCAGGTGCTTTCCTCTCCTCTTCTCCGTGCAAGCTTACCCAGTTGCCGCCCTGCACCACCCGCAGGAAAGCAGGGATTAGTAAGTCACCTATAGTTGTCACTCTCTGTTTGAGACTGTCACATGTGGCCTGCCCAGGTGGTTGGTAATGTCTCCAGCAGAAGTTTGTGGCCAAGTACCCAGCGAGAGGCAGGCTGGTGGGTCAGTGGGCCTCTGCCTTCTAGCTGTGCAGCCCCTGCTGCTGTACATTCTCCTGCTTTGTGTGGAGAGCTGGGCCCAGGAAGCAGCTTCACAGGGTGACTGGGTCTTTGGTATTTATTGGTCTTTTTGATGACCCAGACACCTGCACTGCTCTGTGGGGATGGATTATTGTGTTTACCCCATTTGCTTTTCTCAGGAATTCTGTTCTAAAATATGTGATGAATCTTTATATTCAGGAAAGGTATTCACTGATTGACTTTCTAATTACCTTAAAAATAAGTCCCTGGATTTGATAGTCCCGCATCTGGATATGGAATAAGGAACAGTTTAACACTTCCATCTCTGCCTCACTGTCACCGCCCAAACACTCACAGAGCTCTTCATGTCTGGGGGAAACTTTTATCACTGCGATGTCTTCCTGGAGACAGTCTGTTTCAGGAGGACCTCTGACCCCTGCGTCTTCCCTCCTACCTGATGTTGACCCTACACTGTGACATCACGGTCAGCTCTTCCATGCTACTGGTTGTGTCATAAGCAAAGGATTTGGTTCCAGGTGGAAAGGAGTAATAAGAAAATAAGCACTGGTGCTGAAAAAAAAAAAGATTTAATGTGCTTAATGCAGTGAGCCACAACAATCAGGACTGCAGGAAAAAAGAGCTGTGGTGCTCATTAGTAATTCCACTGTGCGTAAAGGAACTTGCCTAAGGGGCTTTTTCTTTACCCTCCTGAAGAAACGCAGCTGGGAGTTCACTTTCCATGGCCACCATTTCAAACAGCGGTCCCTGCCCCAGACTGACTGTGCAGTAGTGGGCTCAGAGCCCAGTCTGGGTCATTATGAAGGGGCTGGGGTCTGGCCCCTGCGCGGGGAGGTGGCCCTCTGCACTCCAGAAGGCGTTTTAGGGCCTTGCTCCTGCCCTGTTACCCCCCTCCTTAGGCCCAGGGGCTCAAGCCTGCCTCACCCAAGACTGTCCCCCAGTGAGACAGGCCCTCTCACGCCTGCCAGGCTCCTTGTCCCAGCCTGAATCTCACCAACGTAAGGAGTAGCTAGCTCTGAGGTCGATTGTGGGTGAACTGGAGACACTGCCTGGGGCCTGGAGGATCCAAAGGACACTAGACCTCCCCTCTCATTTTCTCCGTCCTCAAGCTCACCAGCCTTAGTCTGGGTATGTGCCATGCATATGGGTATCTGGAGCTCCGAATAGCTTGTTACAAGGAGCTTGGCAAAGTCCACACTGCCTTTACGCTGAAAGAGAGAAATGAAAGTGTAGTACTTTTCCCAGGGCTGCCATCAGTGTCTGGAAACCATCTTGTCGACCACCTTGTGAGGCTTTTCCAACCTGTGTGACAATCCAGTGAGCCATTTACTCGGACTTCACTGTGTGGAAGTGCTGGCCAGGCCCTCGGGGCAGTGTAGGATATTGCCAGGGGCTTAAAACAAATTGAGAGACTGCTGGCAGGCTGTGTAGGGCCAGGCGCCGGCACGGAGACCTCAGAAGAGGTTTTACTGTGCTTCTCTGCTCTCCCTCAGCAGGAACTGGTTCCAGGCAGCCACGGAGGGTCTCCGTGCCCTTCCAGGTGGCTGAGCGCTCTAGCTGTGGCTCTCACACATGCCAGAAACATGAATTGCAGTTCCCGGTGGCCTGTGGCTATCAGAGAACAGATGAGAACGCTTGCCTGCGGTGTCCCTGCGTGGGCGGCCTTGCCAAAGGTGGACATTGTCTCTGGCAGATCTGTTTAGGAAACCTCTGTTTCCAGAAGCACTTGGCTTAGTTATAAGTTGCCATTAGTGTATACTTACACTGTTTTATTTCTTCTCTGCTTTTAAACTTAGAAGGGACATGTATCCTAATATCAGATGTATTTTACTAATTGTCCTTCACAGCTGGTGACTGTTCTATGGCTCTAAGGGGAAGTGAGCCACCTTTGCCTTTCTGGTGGCACCTTTTCTTACTAACACGGTCCCCTGGTCATTTCTGTAAATTCTGTGGCATAAGGGTGGCAGAACCCCACAAGGACTGTGCTATTTCTCTTTGACCCAAACTTAAGACTCTGCCAGCAGGCAGTGCCACCAAAGCCCAGTTGAGGAGCAAGTGCTTTCCTGAGCTCCAGTTGTCTGTCTCTTGCTGTTCATAAGCTCTCTGGCAGATTGGAGCAGCCGGAGCCCTGGTCACGCCACGTACTTCTGGGTCTTAAACTAATACATTTCATTTACTGCCATGCTATTTGCTTGTGGGCAGAGGGGTGCAGAGGTTTGCAGGGCATGTTGTGCCCCTGTGCCCTGCAGCTTGCCCTGGGGGCAGAAAAGGCTGGTGGCCCACTCTTGGATGTTCTGGGACTCCAGAGGGGAGGTAGTGATGGTACAGGCTTAGCCCAGTTATGAAAGGGCCTGTTTTGATTTGTTTAGGATCCAGATTACCTCAGAGTTTTCATTTGTGTTTGTTCCCTTGTTTATTACTATTTCACTTAAAATCTGTGGGTACCCAGGCTGTTAATCTGGACTTCAGTTTAAACCTGACTTAAACTGCACATTTAACAAGGCTGCCTCCCCCTGTGGTGCCTGGGAGCTCTCTGAGAATGTGTGATCAATATTTATTAACACTCTGCCACCGCATCGTGCACCAGTGACCTGGCTGTCAGTCTCCGTGAGCTGTGGTGTGTAGAGTGAACTTATTAATTAGACTTCCTCGCCCTGCTCCACATGCTACCCTGTGCCACAGAGCTCAGCTCACCTGGTGGCGGCTGCCTGTCCTGGCTGTCATGGAGGATGCTGTCACCATGTTAAAAGTTGGAATGAATCATTTCCCTCCAAGGATTAATAGCCCCCTCATGGGGTTTCACTTTCCTCTGAAGCATTTAGCGCGGCTTATGTAGCTTGTGTCGGGAGCTTCCTCCATGTCTCCATGGGCTGTGGGGTGAAGGCTCTCAGGCGCGGCCTCCTTTCTGTCCCTGACATGTGGGCTCTTGACAGAGGAGAAAAGATGCCTCCAGATTTAGAGTGTTTTGTATGAGGAAGCGTTGGCTGGGGCCTGTGGACCGGGCTAAGTCTACAATCAAGGATTTTTAAATAACCTTTTTTGGAAGCTTTCTGATTATCAAAATACTGTATGACTGTGGAAATACAGAAAAAATTAAATTAAAACCACTTGTAATTTACTACCCAAAGAGAACCTCTGTTATACTCTGGTGGATTTCCTTTGCCCCCTTTTTATGCATATAAAACATTTGATAAAATTAGGATTGTATTTATACATTTACGTATCCTCGTTTTTCAAGCAGTTCCATGTCATGAGTATTTCCCGTGTCATTCTGTCGTTTGAATTGATTTTTAAGTGGCTGATACTCCATCATGTTGATACCATGGTTTCTAAGGTTTTCTTCTTCAGAAAGGGGACCCAGGCAGGCAGACCGCCGGCCTCCGTGGCTGACCCTGCAGGCCACAGCACTCCCGCCACCTGGGCCGCGCCCTGCGCCCCCGCCCCCCGCCGCTGACACCCCTGCTTGTCTTGCAGATTGTTCGCTGCGTGAGGAGAACTTCTCGGTGAGGTGCCCCAAGCACAAGGTGAGTCGGGGTCCCGGAGCACCCGTGCGCGCAGCAGGCTGGCAGCGGGCGCTGAAGACCAGACCCACAGAGCCTGCGCCTGGCCCGGGCGGGTGGAGGGAGGCCTGAGGCGCGGGCCAGGCGTGCGGGGCCGAGGGCCGGAGGGCCGGGGAGGGAGGCCGTTCTGTTGGATAGAGAAATGGGGAGCGCAGGCTCGGTGGAAGGGCTGGTTTCTGCTTCGGTTGAATGGCGCCCCAGGTCTCAGGCGGGCGCGAGGGAAGGTGGGTTGTCGGGCCTTGTGGGAAGCAGAGGCGTCTTCCCGGCCCTAGTTGTCAGCTGCAGGGCTGCGGGGAAGGCCTCCCCTCCGGGTCTCCTTCCGCCCTGGGCTGCTGCCTCATCACCCAGATGATTCGCGGGTGGTGTCGTGGGCGCCCCGTTAGGAAAGGCTGGCAGATACGGGGCGAAGGTCGGTTTCTGAGAGACCGCGTGCGGGGAGGGAGCGGACCCGAAGGCGCCCCCGACAAGGCCGGGAATGTCCCGCGGAGCTGCCCCTCCTCTGGCTGGGGTCACACTGACACCTGGTGGTCACTGGCCATCACTGTCCTCGGTCTCCAAGGAGGGCCAGAAAGTACTAGAAAGAGGCCGGCCTGACAGGTCTGCCCTCAGAACACTTCTGACAGATACTTAGGTTTTTCTTTACAATGTCTTTCAGAGGTGGATCATAAGCTTTTACAGTATTCTATTTTTACCTAATTTACATGTTTTTATTTTTAAAACTTCTCTTTTTCAATGGTCACGTTTGCCTCGGAACACCCCACCTGAACATCTCCTGTTTGTCCTCCGATACTGACTCTGCTTTTTCTCTCCTTCTCCATGTTCCGCCCCCCTCCGCCTGTCCCCCCTTCTGTCTCCTGGGCGTGGCCGGCCGCAGCCTCCCCTCCCGTGCCCCCTCCCGCCCTTGCAGAACAAGACAGCGAAAGGCAGCCTCAGCACAGAGCAGTCGGAGCGGGGGTGAGGGGGGCAGTGTGCTCGTGGGAATGGAGAGCACAGCAGGCACAGGTGAGTGGGCACCGCCCTGCCCCCTCCTGCTCGCCCAGGCCAGGCTGCACCCCCGCGTTTAATTGTGTGGACCGCCAACACCAGGTGGAGAAACTGTGCTTCCGTTTGTTGCTTGGCTCCCCCAGAGTATCTGTGGGAAGGTGGCATGGGGCTTGAAAACCATCCCGTTGTCCACTGGGGTTCCATGTGACCGTCCCTGAGATTCAGCCTGTGTGTGGTGTTCCAAAGGCAGAATGCAGCCGGCTTCCGGGACAGGCCCTTGCGACTGGGGCGCGTGCGGTAGCCCTGCTCCTTCCCCATCTCAGAAGGCTTCTAGCCAGGGGTCTCTGCTCTGATGGGCTCCATATCCATAAAGCTTTTGGTGGGTTTTTCCTTTGAAAAACAAAACATTCCCCAAGTTTTGTTATTTGAAATCTTTTTTCCCAGTACTTTGAAGGATTCCTTTTAACAGAAGTACAAAGGGAAGGAAAATCCCCTCAAATATTTAGTAGACTTAAGCATCTGATTTACTTCTACTCTTAAAAATCTCAAGGGATTGAGTCGTGCTTTTTGAGACTGCCTGTGAGCTCATGGTCAGGGCTGGCAGCGCGTCTGTGAGAACGGATTATAGGACCATCGGCTCAGAAGCGGCAGGTCCCCACTGCCCCCCGACCTGCCCCCGCCGCTTCTTCCCCTCCCTGCCCTCAAGTCACTGAGGGACACAGGGAGGGGAGCCCACACACAGCCGGACAAGGGGAGTCGGAACGTCAGCCAGGGCAGTTGCTTCTGCGGGTGGGGTGGCGCGCCTTGTCTGGGAAGTGTCCATTATGGGATTATCCCTCTTGAAAGGCAGTGCCTCTGGGAGCCACACGCAGGTGTGTGCGGCCCGGCCCCCAGGCAGCTCCGTGGCCCTGATGAGCCTCTGTGGAATGTTCCCTCCCCTTTGTTACGAATGGCGGAGGTGGGGGGTCCACCTTTCTCTGGAATACCTGACCGTAATTTGAGGAGCAGAGGATTCATCACAGAATGTGGCTGTGTCCCCTCTGAGAAGTCATCTGTTGCTCAGGTGGGCTCTGGCTCCGACTCCCAGAGAAGGACCCTCTGTTCCCAGGGTTGGTTCTGGGGCCACTGGGGGCTCAGTGCGTCCCTCACGAGTTTCAAGTGAGGGTTTTGCTGCTGTGCTTTTCTCCCTTCCTCCTCCGGGAACGGGGCTGGGATGGAGGGGACAGTGCAGAACAGGTGGGTTTGGTCACAGGACCCAGAGGGGCAGACGGCGCCCTGGGGACAGCAGCAGCGGTGGCACCGAGCAGCCAGCACCTGCCAGACCTACTGAGCCCCACGCTCCTTCCCCCCGAGCAGCCCCCAGGGCAAGGCCACAGCCCGGTGGCCCCCAGGAACTTCTCTCCTGGGCCTTCTGAGTGTGCCGGGGCTTGCGTTGTGTCACTGGGCCTGGGCAGGGTCTGCCAGCTTCCTGTTGATTCCTCAGCCTGGCCCAGAGCCATGTTCTGGAAGGGCCCTGACGGGTATTCCTCAGTGTCCTGGAGAACCCTGGTGGGGAAAGAACCATTTTTGTTTGGTGTCTTTTGTTTTTGTCCTGCAATTCCAGCCTGTGTTTGAGGAAAAGAGGAAGTCCGGGCCCCGGGCCTGGCAGGCGCAGCCCTCTTGGGGATTCTGACTTTGTTCATCGTCTCCTTCCCCTCTACCCACTCTTGGCCCCTGCCAGCTGAGAGAGCCCTGCGCTCCGGAGTGGGACAGTAAGCTGCATCATTCATTCTTCGGAAGGTTGGCATTATTATTCCGGTTTAACTATCAGAAACCAAAGTGCTGAATGAGACAGTGGCCTGGCCCATCAGCATGAGGTCAGACTGTCCACCTCCTGGAGGCACGTGCTTCTTGTCCACCTGAAATGTTCTCCACACAGTCCCTCCGTGGCCTGGTTTCTTGCTTGAGCAGTCACGTTGAGAGCAGTTGCTGTCCTTAAGGGCCAGGCAGTACCATCAGCCCTCTGTAGGTTGTGTGGAAGCCCCAGAGGTCAGGGGTGACACACACCCTACCTGAAAGGCATTCATCTCAGGGTCTGTCCTAGGGATGGAGAGCCACCCTCTTTGGGTGTCCTAACAAGGCAGGAAGGGAGTTTGGATATACATGTGAGCCTGCTTCCTGGTGTGGTGTGGAAAGTGCTCTGCAACCAGGTCAGGCCACCTAATGTCTCTGTGCTTTTCTTCTTCTGTAAACAGAGAAATAACAGTGGCCAGCCTTGTGAAAATTAGTTAGGAAACATCTCTGCCTTGCCCAGCACAGCGTGGCCTGGGGTGGGGAGTCAGCAAGTCCTGGGCACAGGCTAACAGCCTGCTAGTCTGCTGTGCACGGCAGGAGCTGGAAGGACTGAAACTGCAGAGTGGTCCCTGCGACTGCCGGCTGCCCTGTCCAGCAGAGATGCCTGGGGTGCAGGGTACAGATGCGAGTTCCAATCCCCCACCCCCCACCCCCACTAGCATGTGAGGTCCCTGGCTTTGTCCCTCACCAGGGCAGCCTCCAGTGGCAGGTCTGTGGCTGCCTGCCCTTTGCTTGTGTCCAGGCTGTCTTGCCGGCTCCATGTGGCTGGTAGCAGGGCTTTGACGATGGACACCCCCCTCCCCCACCACCCATATTATCTTCCTCTCTTGTCCCATGGTGAAAAAGAAGCCCCCCCCCCATCAGGCCCCCCGACCCAGTGGTTAGGAAGCAGTCACCTCCATTCGCTGCTCCTTTGTCCTGAGCAGGGGGATGGCGCCTGCACCCAGCAGCCCCCCTGCCCTGGAATGGGCCTCTCCGAGAGCTCTGTGGTGAGAGTGTTACACTGGAGAGGCTGCACTGCCCGTGCCTGTGTGAGCAAGTGCCCTGCCCTGGAGCCCCCCTTCCCCCAGGCTGGTCCAGGGAAAGTCCTGGGATCACACCTCCAAGGAACTTGACCCAGCCCCTTTCTCTCTACCACCCCACCCGCTGCCCAGACCCACGCTGCCACTCCCACCCCCGCCTTGCTGCTGCTCTGCTCCGCCTGAACCCTTAGCGCACGCGCACACACTTCTCTGCTTCAGAACCTCCGTCACATTGAGAATTAAATCCAAACTCCTAACTGTGCCTCCAAAGGCCTATGGACATCTCCGCAAGGCTCCCAGCGTCCTTCAGCCCCTCCCTCTGGGCCTTTACACTGGTCATTCCCTGGGCCCGGGGCACTTGGCGTATCTCTGGGTCCCAGCGTCAGTGTCACTTCCTCACATAGGCCTTCCCTTCCATGTCCCTGTCTGTCCACCTCCAACCCTACTCTGTAGCCTTCCTAGCATCGCTGCAGTTACGAATAACTTGGGTACCTGTCATCTGCATCTCCACTAGCAGGTTCGCTCCATGAGGTCAGGGGCCATGTCTGTCCTGCCCGTTGGGCCCGAGCCCAGAGCAGGGGCACAGTGGTGCTGTGCGTCTGTGCTAGAGGAGAACATGCACCTGGAGAGGAGAAGCGCTCCCTCACCCTGGCTGTGCCCATGACCAGACGGACCCCTAGTGAGGCCCCCACCCCACAGGCAGCACTGCGGGTCTGTCTCAGGGACATGGAGAGCCCCCCAGCCAAGTAGGGGTCAGGGATCAAAGGCCAGCCTTGGGCCCCACCAGACACAGGTTCAGCCACAGAGGCGATGCTGAGGGAGAGCAAGAAGGAGTGTGGAGCACAGTGTCGGGAGGCTTTGGCCCAGGTGGAGTCCTGGTGCCGGCAGCCGGACATCTAGGTGCCTTCTTACAGGGAGCACTGCAAATCCGCGGCTCAGAGGTGCGGCACCATGCCTGCTCCCTGGGGCCCCGGTCAGAAGAGCTTTACTGGATGTGAGCCCCAGTCTCACCTCTGACCAGCTGCTGGCCTTGGGCTACATGTGACCCCTCCCTCAGCTTCAGCTCTGTCATCTGCAAAACAGGCCTCTCAGTGTTACTGTGAAGTAACATCAGTGAAGCTCCTAGAATCCACAGTACGTGGCACACAGTAGGTGCCTAACACATTTTCTTCCTTTTCTCCCAACTGAAGGAATGGTTTTTTAGACGTACCTCTGAGAAGTTGGGGTCCCACTACCTTCAAGGTGTCTTATCCTTTGGCCAATCTACTGTCAGACATGGGGAAAGGCCCTTTTTGGAAGGACTGGAAGATAGAGCCCAAGGCAGGCAGTGCTGAGAATAGCAGCTGCCTGGACCACCACACACCCCTGTGGTGCCACAGGAGGGGCCCACAGTCAGCAGCCCACAGACCCCAGCCAGGCAGACCCTGGCCGCTGAGGCGGGGGCCTCCTGTTCAGAGTAATTAGCAGGATGGGGGTACAGGCCCAAGATGGGGAGGGCAAGCCCTGCCCTGTCCTCTGTCCACTCTTCCCTGTAACCCACATCACCAGCAAGATTTAGCCCCTCTGGTCTCTGCCAGAGGCACCCCATTAGTTCTGCCTTTGTCACTGCGTTTACAGTGGGCCTTGGCTCCTAGGAGTTCTGAGAGAAAGCTGCTGCTCCGGCCTGTGCTGGCAGCCTCGGTAAACCAGTGTGAAGCCGCGGAGTGGACAGTAGGAGGCAGGGGCCACGGGGGCTGGGGTGGCCTCCAGGGCCCAGTGACACTTTCAGAACCAGGGAAACCACCCTGGGCACCCTGAGGATGGCAGGATGGCCCAGCCGCTGGCCTGGCAGCAGTCCCGGGGTTTGCTTTTTGCTGGCCTTGGTCGTGTCCTACTGTCCTTGCAGAGGGTCTTCCTGATTGTCCGTGTTTTCTGCCAAGCGGTCAGTCTCTCTTCGGCAAGGGCCGGGCAGACACACGTGTGCTCTTAGACAGAGTGTTCTTAGCTCATGCTTTTTAACTATCCCACATGTTAGTGAGTTTTATGGAAACAGAAAAGGGACAGTGACACCTGGGTCTCCCTGATGCTCGCTGTTGGAGGAGGACCCCAGAGAGGTTTGAGGAGGAAGCAAGGTGAGCCCCACAGCACCCAGATTCCGGAACGCTGTAACTGGTGGGAAACAAGTGAGGCGCTTGGTTTCCAGTTAATTTTTCTGAACTGAATGCCTTGGAAACAGCTGTGTCCCCCGGAGACCTTTGCACATGTAATGACCCATGAAGCGTTCTGAGGAAGACCTCGGTCCAAGCCCACCTGCCCCGCCTGGGTTGTGGGATCTTCCCGAATCCCGGAGCCTGTGCCAAAAGAGGAGCTGCTGGTGGCAGGGGTGCCTGGGGGGCTCGCAGGAAGAGTGCTCTTAAGGTGGAAAGAGTTCAGCCACCTCTGTGAGGACTGCTCCATACCGCCCAAGTGCTGCTAAGATTTAGCCAAGGGGCTAAATCTTGCTGGTGATGTGGGTTACAGGGAAGAGTGGACAGAGGACAGGGCAGGGCTTGCCCTCCCCATCTTGGGCCTGTACCCCCATCCTGCTAATTACTGCTGGGGTCCCAAGCAGGGCCCCCCTCCAAGGCAGCCCCACCTTGGAGGGTCAGGGAGTCTCCCCAAGGCTTGGTTTCTTCCTCCCACGCACTAGGGAGGTAGACACACTGTGAGAGGCACTCAGTCCCGACCCAAGACAGCTGGCCAGGTCACTGCTGCCTGTAACCCAGTTCTAGGCCCAGAGCCACACAGCGGTGCCACTCTGGTCTTGGGTGTCTCCCCTGTCCGCACATTTCCGGGGTCTGCCGCTGGACCCTGCAGAAAGCCCCGTCCCAGCACCACTGCCGAGCAGGGGCTGTTCGCTGCTGGAGCGGGAGGTTCCCGGCACCCAGTGTCCGTTCTCTCTTCCAGGTGAGACTGTGGAGATGAGAAGGTGGTGGACCCTCGCGATCGAATGGAAATGGTCCCCCGTGCAGCCCTGCCCCACCCCGCCCGCCACGCCAGCACTTCCTTCCCAGTTCTTACATCACACTCCAACCAGTGACGCCAAGGGAAAGAGAGCCCCGAGCCCCGAAGTTGGAATGGCTGTTTCCATGGACACAATCTCCATAGTGACAATATGGGGGGAGGGAGGGGGAGGGAGATGGGAAAGGGGGGGATTAAAAGGGAGGGATAAAAAATATATATATAAATCTATTTTTAGTCTGGAAAGACTTTGTTTAAATGAAAGGTGCGCTATCCCTTTTGATTCTATTTTAAAATTATCTAGTGAAAGAACTCCAAATTTGTTCCAATAACAGTGAAATTTAAATGTGGAATTGAACTGAACAAACTCATCTCACGAAGGGTGGGGTGTGACCTTGACCTTCAGCCTGTCTCACACCAGTTGGGAGAGCTCTAGACCCAGGATTGGAAGAGACAAACCACACCAAAACCATCCTTGGTCATTAATTTGTCTCAAAAGTGGGAAGGTTTAGGGGGTAGGGAATAGGGATGGGCCATGTTTTCAGGAGTGGGAAAATGATGTCTAAACACAAAAATCAATTTTTTTCATTTCCAGAAACACTATTTATTTATTTTTAAAATTTTTATCTTTTTGGGGGGTGAAATCGGCAGGTGCCCCAAGGTCACAGCTGTGTTCTGGGTCACTGGCCGTGAGAACTCCGAGTGCCCCGCAACGCGCACATGGCAGGCGCAGCCTCCGGGCACCTTCCGGGCAGCTGTGCCCGGACCCCCAGGACGGACAGGACGGGACGCCGAGCTGCAGGAGCTGACATGGAGGGGGTGACATGGAGGGGTGCGGGGCGCCATCTGTGCGGCCTAGGCCGCTGGCAACGCCCCGCTAACCTCTTCTTTTGCTTTTGTTTTTATAAGGAAAAGGGAACCCGCCAGCTGAGCGGCCCCATTCCATGTGGTTCTTTATGTTGTATCATTTTGTTTTGCTTGTAAATTGTTTAATTTTTAAATATCTGAGTTTTAAAAAAAGAAAAAAGTACAAAAAAATCTTGTTAAGGCCTTAAGAAGGGGTTAGTGCATCTTTCAGGGGTCACTCTGCCATGGGGAGAAAATAGCTGTTTCACCAACAGTTTTATTTAAAAAAAAAAAAATCAAAAAAATAATAAACTTCATTTTAACCTTGTTTCCTCTTTTTGTTTAATACAAAGCAAATGCATCTCTTCCTCCTCCCATTCCAACCGCTGCAGCGGCTTTGGTCCCACTGCGGGCGCTGACTTTTACTGGTCTGGCAGAGACGGAGCAAAGCGAACCCGAAGGCCCTTCTCTGCCGCTCAGCCTGGAGGGTGGGCTCAGCCCATGTACGGGGCTGCACATTTCCTTAAGTTGGTGTGAGGACATATTTCCAATCAACATTAATTTTATGGATTATAAAAAAAATGATGCAATGTTAATGGACATTTTTTAGAGAACAGAAATACTGGAAAGAATGTTGTGAAGTAGAAATAAGCAATTATAAATGAGTTCTTGTGTGCTCATCAATTTGAGGCTGCAGAAATGGCAGATTAATTTCACTTTAATGGCTGCATCAGGCAGTGTGGTCCATTTCTCATTTGCTCTGCCGGGATGGAGCTGTGGGTGGGTAGGCTGCGTGGGCCATGGGACCTGCATAGAAATGACGGCTTCTTGAGCTGCTTGGCTTCCCGTCTGGTCTTGACTTGGCATTAAGACAGTTCAAGTGAAATTGATAGATTTCAGGTGTCAAGGGCTAAACCGCAAAACTTGAAAAATAGGAATCTTGAGAAAAATATTTTCCTGACAGTAAATGATTCTTCTTCATTTTGCCTTTTATTCTTCTGTCCCGTGTTGACTTGATAATGATAGTTGAGCAAGGCACTTAGGATTGTTTAGGTCTTTCCTCGAACTGGCTTCTGAAGTGACCAGTAACTGGCTGTGGCTGCGTTCCACGCTGCCCTCCTGACTGGAGTTTTCTGGCTTCTGCAGGAAACCAATTGCTTGTGCACATTTCAGCTCCCACTTTTGAGTTTTGTGTGTTTTTTTTAATAGACTTTTTTTTCAAGTTTTCAGTTCATAACAGTATTGAGCAGAAGGAGCAGAGATTCCCCATACACCCACCCTGTCCCCCCTGCCACAGACACAGCCTCCCCCACTGTCACCATCCCGCACCAGATTGTGTATTTGCTGCAGTTGGTGAACCTACACTGACAGACCAGAATCAACCAGTCTGTAATCGACACTGGCGTTCACTCTTGGTGGTGTACAAATGTATGACACAGATCCGCCATTACGGTACCATACACCGGACTGTGATCACCCTAAAACCCTCTGCGCTGCTATTCCTCCCTACCCCTGCCCCTGGCACATCTGCTGATCTTTTTACTATTGCCATAGTTTTGCCTTTTCCAAAAAGTCACGGAGCTGGACACAGCTCGTAGCCTTTTGACTGGCTTCTTTCACTTAGTGTTAAGCATTTAGGGTTCCTCCACATCTGTTCGTGGCTACGCAGCTCATTTCTTCCTAATGCTGAAGAAGAATCTGTTGCCTTGGACGGACCACAGTTGATTCACCTCCTGAAGGACATCTTGGTTGCTTCTGAGTTGTGGAATTATGAATAAAGCTGCTATAAATGTGTGTGCAGGTTTTTGTGTGATGTAAGTCTCAACTCTTTGGGTCTACATCAAAGGGTGACAGCTGGATCATGTGGTAAGAATGTTGAGTTTCATAAGGAGCTGCCCAGCTGTCTCCCTGGGTGGCTGTGCCGTTTGCATCCTCGCCAGCAGTGTGTGAGAGCTCCGGTCGCTCTACAGCCCTGCCAGCAGATGGTGGTCTCAGCATTCTGGATTTTGACCATTCTAATAAATGTGTAGTGATGTCTTTTTTTTTTTGTATCATTAATATAAAATCACATGAGCAACACTATGGTTACTAGATTCCCCCCATTATTAAGTCCCCCCAACACACCCCATTACAATCACTGTCCATCAGCACAGTAAGATGTTATGGAGTCACTGCTTCTCTGTGCTCTACTGCTTTCCGTGTGCCCCCCCCACATTATGTGTGCTAATCGTAATGCCCCTTCTCCCTCCCTTCCCACCCACCCTCCCCAGTCCCTTTCCCTTTGGTAACTGTTAGTCCATTCTTGGGTTCTGTGAGTCTGCTGCTGTTTTGTTCCCTCAATTTTCCTTTGTTCTTATATTCCACATATGAGTGAAATCACTTGATACTTGTCTTTCTCCGCCTGGCTTATTTCACTGAGCATAATACCCTCTAGCTCCATCCATGTTGCTGCAAATGGTAGGATTTGTTTTCTTGTGGCTGAATAATATTCCATTGTGTATATGTACCACATCTTCTTTATCCATTCATCATCTGATGGACACTTAGGTTGCTTCCATTTCTTGACTATTGTAAATAGTGTTGCGATAAACATAGGGGTGCATCTGTCTTTTTCAAATTGGGCTGCTGCATTCTTAGGGTAAATTCCTAGGAGTGGAATTCCTGGGTCAAATG